GACTATCGTTGTTTGCTTCGTGAGGCAACCCGCTCAGCACGGAACGAACACAAGCGCTACTAGACTGATATCGCAAGCAACATAGAAGACACATCTAACTCTGCCGATTTCATTCGTCCCTTTCGTCTTGTCCGTTTAGCTTCCGTTAAGCGTTATTCATCACGGCTGAGATTGCGCAATTCGGATCGCCAAATCGTCCCTGACACGGAAGAAAACTTTCCAGATGGGAAGAGCATTTTGGCAACCTCCTAAACCGCCCACAACACACCGCCAAACCCATTACCGCATTACCCAGCCAGGATGACGCGGATTGCTTACCGCCATCTTCCACAGCAATTGCAGACATGGTTCGTCACCGGAAGTTGAAGAAAGCCCCAGAAGCTGTCGGGATTCCAGCGAATATCTACAAAGCTTGTCTACCATCTCTCCTTGACCATTTACATGAGCTCTTGTGCTAGATATGGGAAACGGAAATCTGTCCTTCCTTGTGGAGTACCTCAGTACAGTGCCATTTTCCAAGGAAGGTGACCGAACTGTGTGCAGTAATTATCGCGGGATTAGCCTAATCGATGTGGCTGCCAAACCCTTCGCACGAACCTTGCGTTCTCGCTTTGCCAATGAGAGGAATCCGCGAACTGGCTATAACCAAGGTGGCTTTCGTCCAGACAGAGGCTGCACTGACCAAATCTTCACTCTACGTCGAGTACTCGAACACCGCTACCAGTTCCAGCGGCCCAGGTTTGTGTGCTACGTTGATTTTTGAGCTGCCTTTGACTCATTTGATCGCGAAGCACTGTGGAGAATCCTACTTGCCGATTACGTGCCGGTTAAACTCATTAACTTGATGAGATCATAATGCCGTTGCAGGAAGGCCTGGATTCAGGTCAATGGGGAAGAAACAAATGAATTCTACATCAAGACTGAAGTCCGACTGGGTTGCCCAGTTTTTCCAGTGCTGTTCAACCTCGCAGTCAACTGGGTTACACACCATGCCCTTGAGGGCCATCACGGTGTTCAAGTTATCACTGACTTCTGGCTGTCAGATCTAGAATTTGCTGACGAGATCATTATGGTTGCGGAAGATGCTATATCACTACAGTCATTGATAACTCTCGTCGACCAATAATCCTCTTTGATTGGCCTCGAAATTAACATCAGCAAGAAGGAATACTTCTCATCGTCAGTCACCCATTCAGCCCCGGCGGTCTGTTTACATGGATAACTTATAGAATCTGTTCCTGAGTTCAAATATCTTGGATCCACTATACTCTCCAATGGTTAGGCTGCATCAGAAATCCAGGATCGAATTGACAGCGCCAGAACAGCTTTCTTACAACTGAGAAACTCGTTGTGACGAAGGACGGAAATGAGTCTGAGGACGAAAATCCGAGTATTCTCAGCAACTATTCGTGTCATTTTACTCTATGGTTGCGAAACATAGCCGCTGTGATCCGAAGACCCCCGGTAGCTGAAAGTTCTCGACCATTGGTGTCTAGGGCTTAAATCTTGCAAACACAGTAGCATGATCGTATCACCAATGACGAAATCCGTAATGGATTTTACCAGCTTCCGAAGCGCGCATAGCTCATCCAGCGCCTTAGACTTCAGTGGTTCGGTCATGTCCTCCGCAGACTAGACACTGACTTCACTAGGGCCGTGGTTTCATCCTCGCCTTACCAGGGTTGATGTCGTCGCCTTGCTGGACAATTGAAAACGGGACTCACTGCAGTGAAATCGGATGTCGATCTTCTGGGACTCCATGTTGTGCATGGTGCTGGTCACTGGAGGAAACAATGGATCAGTATCTGCGTGGAGCTTGACGCCGATCACCGTTCTTGGGCAGCTGCATTTCGCGACATTCATGAAGCCGGCTCATCCTGTCGCAGATCCTAGCCGCAGTAAAGTAAGTAGAAAGTAGGAGCACACGGAATGTTGGTAGCCCACAAAGCAACCGGTAATTTGCGAAGCTTACTTTCAAGACCGAAGGACAAATTCAAACAAGGCAGTCAGAATGATGTCATCTACAAAATTAACTGCAACGGGTGTGGCAAACACTACATCGGGCAAACTGGAAGGAAACTTTCAACACGGATCAAAGAACACACGATGGCCATACGGAGACACGACCAGCATTCACTGGTTTCCATGCATGAAGAACAAGAAGGTCATCACTTCGACCTGGAGAACGTAAAGATCCTGGCCCGTGGAAATTCGAGGCAAACTGGAGAGTTCATGGAAGCATGACATTCTACTGGCAATTCGATAAACCGACGCGATGAGATATATGCTATATATGAATTGCTAGGGTTGAAATTTCACCCAATTAGTGGGCTAACTCTAACGGAACAGAACGCCGGAAAAATGCGTCAAACGACGACGACAACCACCGAAGAGGCCCGCGGGCGTGCGCTACGAGTCATGAATCAGAGATCGATTTCGATGGTCATGTGCCCATCGAACGATTCAAACTCAGACTGACGGTTATAAGATCGAGCACTTACACTCAGTGATGCTTCGTACAGCGCCGCTCTACTACCTAAATCCGCACTGACGAGGTGGCCACGGGGGGTGCCGAAACTTTTGTAGCCGAACTGCCGAGCTCTACGAACGCTGAGACCACCAATGCACGACTTTATTTTACACTCCTATTGGTTTCCCTACTTAAATATCTATCTCTGTCTGTTGCTAGTTTCAGGTTATCGAACTTTAAGCCGTACGTTAGTTGCACGTTTAAGGCTTAAACAACCACCAGCAGATTCATCTTGGTGTAGGATTCGTAACCAACATATAATTTCAAGTTCAAGTTCAAGAGGGACTGGAACGATAGGATGATCCCGTGAGTGTTCCTTCTTCTTCGGGTCGTTGAACCAGGAGTTGGCGAACTTTGAAATACTGATGGACCTAAAACAAAGACCGCATCACACCCTGTCCAACCAATTAATGCCCACGTATCCTGCCATAGCAGTCCCTGCTGGGCCGGTTACGTGAAGTAAGAAAAACAGTAAACTCAGAAGGCAAAAGAGAAAGTGGAAAGAGCTAAGCAAGTGGAATACCAAGATATTTGAGTCATTAAAAAAAGAACTGAAAAGTGAAGGTGAGTCAGCTAGGAAAAAGGAAAAGTTTGCTGTTGCCATCCAAGAGCATCGAGCTGGCGCGCAAAACCCTTAACCGTAGGTTCCCTAACCACGTGATCTGGAAGCGAATTCCAGCGATCTATAACTCGGCGCGATAGACGAGTTTCCGTCCTAATCCAATCAGACCGTGGTTTATGCAGTTTCAGTGGGTGACCGCGGAGATTAGGTAACGTAGCGGGACTAAATAGCCCTGACAAGTCCGGGCCAATCTAACCCGTCAAAATACCATAAGTGAGAATCAGGTCACCTCTTATCCTTCGGTAGTGCATTGAGTACATCCCCAAACTGAGCAAGCGTTCAGGATACGTCTGTCCACGTAGACCCTGCACTAACCGAGTGCCCACTCGTAACACCCTCTCCAAGTCCATTTTGTCTCGGTTAAGACATGGTGGACAAGCCTGGATACAATATTCCAGGTGGGGTCGGACGAATGCCGAGAATAGCTTCACAAACAAATTGGCCGTTAGGATTCCGAAAGAGCGGCTGATAAACCACATCATACGAAACCGTCGACAAGCAGCCTTCTTCCAATTGTCGCCAGAATGAAGTGCTGATGCGTGTATGACTCCTAAATCAACCTTCTGAGTAACAACAGGGAGTTCACCACCGCCGACAACATATCGGGTGGGAGGATTAGCAACTCCGATTCGGAGAACGGAGCACTTGGCCCTATTTATGGGCATCAACCATAAGGTAGACCATTTCCAGAGCCTATCCAAAGCATACTGAATTGCCTCAGGACCCCCCGGGATATCCACAATATTCCAGAGCTTAAGGTCATCAGCAAACATAAATGATGACACCCCTAGCTTTCCCGGCAAGTCATTTACATAGATCGCGAACAACAATGGCCCCAATACCGAGCCCCGCCGGACGCCACTAAGGACAGATTGCCTGAGCGAAACTCTACGCCCCACCCGTACGCACTGTTCCCTCCCCTCAAGGAACGCAGACACCCACTGAAGGGCGCGAACAAATAGCCCGTAAGATCTCAACTTCAGTGAGAGCCGAAGACGTGGAACAGTGTCAAAATAAACGGTGTTTCAGATGGATCTGACTTGTTATGACTAACCACAGCCAAAAATGTCGGGTATAATGTATTAAAGACTTTTCTCGTAGGCTAAAGATGAATTAATGAAATGCATGTTTGATTGCGCTGATTATTAAACAGATTTGGACAAATAGGCATCACGCAGTAGGAAAAGAGGACGCCATACCTTTAGTCTCATTTAGGTACGTTAACTAAACGGAACTATCTCGCACTCTGGAGAGTCCGATCCAGGCTATTACCTTTTGATACAACAGTTTACACTCTTGTGTTATCTGCTGCGATGGTAGGCAGCAATTGATACCGCAGGTTAAGGTAGACGTTTAAACTGAAACTGTTACAGCATTACATGACAGTTGTGAGAAAACTACGTCTGAAGGCAATTCCCAGGGTTCACTCTGTTCCGTGAAGCTCAGAGCCCATCTACGATCGCATGGTGTCGTTGCCTCACATGGTGCCTTCTTTGATGAATCATGTGTACCTAGTCTCTCGTTGGTCATTTGCGTGTATGTGTGTGGGCGCATGTAGAGATGTGTTTGCTCAGGCGCTGTTCGTACCGTTGCATTTAAACACGCTCGCGCTTTTTTCATCTGCGCAACAATCCTCCGTCCCCAGGTCAGATTTCAACCGAGCAACGGATGATGGACAATCCTGGTACAACAACAAATTGAGACGCGACTTTTTGCATCCATCAGTCGAGTCGTCAATACGCCTACGTCTGTGTAAATCATCGCCGGGTGGGCCGAACAACCAATCACATTTTGTCTGCTTGGGGCGGACCAGTGCGCTCAGCACATGTATAGTGCCGCTGCGGATTACAAGCGTATGCCAACGAGATTGGCCTATGCGCCACTCCGCCCTTCGGGATGCCTGGTCGCAAACGTAAACGTGGGCATGAGGTCACCTCTCCAATGGGAAGTAGACATTTGTCAAATCCCAGCGTACACTCGGATACGGTGGACAAGAAAACCAAGCAGTTGCTTTTCTTTGAGACCAAGGTATGCATACTAGGACGTTCCACGTTGCGAAACGATGAGAGTTATACGCAGGTCAAGGCTGAGGTACTCATGAATCGGTTTTACGACAAGCGCCAATCCCACTGCATACTCTATTGTTTGGAAGACTGTTTGCGATTTGAGAAGACCAAATGTATGGGCATGCAGCCGCTACGCAACTTTGTCAAATATAAACACATTAGACACGTGTTCATATTCGAAGACAAACCAAATGTCTTCATGTTGTGTATTGACAGTGGTCGCTCCAATAGAAGGACCTACGAGGCATTCAAGTGTAAACGCAAAGAGGATGTGTTGGCCTTATGCGAAATCATTTACAAGGCATCACAGGATCCAAACAGCGTACTACACGACCTGGTACCGATCCGGGAGGTATCACGCTATTCCGATCTATCCATACCAATACAGTATCACTCAACCAGTGAATTAGAACGTCGTGCCTACTCAACAGGTATTCTATCACCTGGTCCATCAACGTCCCGTGACGGGGAACTCCTGGATGCGAATATAGAAGAACGGAAATACGCGCATCCTCTCCGCATGGAAAGTATGCACTCAGCGCCCACGATTAACCGAGAGCATTTGGTCCGTTGCCAGGTAACATATGATAACACCATTTCACCAAACTGGCGGAACAGCGCTGCTAATGAAATTCGACAGAGGCTGATGAGAAAGAGTGAGGACAAGGACTGGGAAGTGACCATGATGTTCCTACGTTGGGATAACTTACACGGAGCGATAGTAAATGAGTACGGTCCAATCTACTTTTATGTGGCCAGAAGGCTGACTCCTTCTTAACTTCGTCAGTGAAAGCAGCCCGATTCCCTGTGACTGTCCAACCATTCTTGACTGTTGTTTCCCGATAGGTATATGTTACAATGAATTGATTGAACTAATTATACATCGGTAGGTTATCAAGTATTTTCTCCATTTCGGAAACATTTGGTAAGTAGGAATTCACACAGGTTCCCTTTTTCTCGGATTCATTATACCTTCAGTTACGGGCGCATTATGCATGCGGATAAGACGAACATTTGCATCGTAATTTTTCTCTCCTAAAAAATATCTGCTTCCTAGACTTGTCCAACAGACACTAGGTGCTAATTGTTCCCTTAAATGATTGAGTGTTTTTGTTAACACACACTGGAACAAGTCTTTGATTGTACAACCTACGTTCTTGGTGCATAGGCCTCGTAAGTTGACGTGCCGAAACTTTCAGTAACCAAAACGGTTTAGCAATACTGCTGGTTCCCTATAACTTGCTGATGTGTGAAAAGATTCATGTTTTAAACCTACAAAGTAAATTTTCTGCATTAATTTTCACCAGGTGAAGTTAGGCGCTAACCTCATTAAATATGATGATAATTAGCTCAGTGCACTTACAAGGAACAGTTGTGCCCACTTGAGAGAAGTATTTTGAACAATCACTGAGGTATTGACCTTGGCGAGTGCCGTCACCTCAGCAATTAATCTTCGATTTGCTGATCGTACTCCTCTCCCAGTGATCACTACGTTGTCTCAGTCGACTTCGCTTCCCGATCATAGCGTGTGTATCACTATCACCGAATCCTTTAGTAGCTTCTGTCATCATTTCGCGCAGTACTTTCAATGTCTGGCCCATGTACCCCTACGCATGATCTCTGCGACTAATCTTATAGACGTGATTAGCCGTCATATCTCTCGGAAGTGCATCTTTCGAACGCACCAGTGCTGAACGGAGCGTTTTGTTATTTTGGCAAACCACCCTTACCGTCATTTTGCCTCGTGCTCTTTCAATCGCGTCAGAGGTGCCCTCTTTATGAGGGATTTCCACCAACCCCATCCATCCCGTTGTGCGTCGCGTGGGTCCCCATTTAATTCTTCTGCACAAGTGATAAGTTGCTACACAGTCCCCGGTATTTTCGACCGAAACAGTCTACGTTCAATTAGACATTGCTCCAGAGTGTAATCTGTATAGAGTTTTGATTGATGTGGACGTCTGTTCATTTCGCCAGACATAAGTGATTTGGATATCATGCAACGATAAGTATGCCTTCCTTAACTCGAGGAAATTTGATGAACTGAATTCTGTGAACCCCCTCTCTCTCTCTAAGATATCAACCTGTTGACGGGTCCTCTTCCTACACACACACACCAAACGGTCAAAATTGTTCGGTGGTATTGTTCTCCCCGACAGCATGCCGTTCAATTCGCTGTCCTACTCAGAAATTCGCATAGCTACCAATATCCAAGTAGTTACCTTAGGGCTGAATCATGTATCTGGTTGATCGTGTGTATATCGTATCGAAGCCGTTTAACAACGTTGTGTAAATTGTCTCCAGCCTCGATAACCCGCCGTGTCTAGACAAGAGTAGTAGAAAATTTGTTGCGGTTATCGTAGTAGGAGTCAGCCTGGCCACAGAATTGAACCATCTAGCAGGTTCCAATGAACTGCACTAGAGTTAAACGCGATGCAACAGACCGTTTCATCCAGAGTTCACTCAACTGAAATTAGTTGTGTTTTCATCCTTGGTCAGTATCTGCATTCCATGGTTATGAGGAATAGAAAAAGGAGCGCGACAATCCATATGGTTAACTGCCCGCGCAAGATTCAGCTATGAAACAGCAATAATAATAATGATAATAATAATAATAATAAGACCGACATAAACTGATCTATTGCTACAGAGTATCCATACAGCTATGTTGCATAATCGACTCCAGTAAACTCAGCGTTGCTGCTGCACCAAAATGACACACTGCTCTAAACGGCCATGTGTACATCGGAATAATGGTCTTCCCGACTTTGAGAAACATTGAATGGTGTGCCACTGGTCTGCTCTTCAGCGTTTCAGCTTGGCTGCCATATTTTGCGTAGGAATGGTGATTCCCTCCTGTCATACAGTGAGCGTCCACATCCTATCCATCTGATACAGCGGCGGGTCTCACTTGTGGTAACCTCTCTTATCCCACTAGATCAATGCCATATAAGTATCAGTTGACAACATCAATCCGTCAAAACATTTTGTGTCATGAAGATTCTTCACCAGTCCCCTTAACAATAAGCTCTGTGTGAAATGTACAATAAGTAGTGGTGTGATCGTATTTTTAAAAACAAATCGGGGCTGGGGAGTGCGTCGCATATGTTCGCATACTTAGAAAAAAAACAGAAATGTTGTTACATGATTGTGAAGCAAATTGGTGTGTAGCTGAATTTTAATCATTAGATACGACTAGTGCCCTGATTTCCCCAAGTGAACAGGTCTAACCTGATGTTGTCACTGAGATTTGTAGGCTCTCCAAGTGCCAGAGGATATATACCCGCTAAATGTATACTTATCGCAATAGCCTTTCAAATAACAATAAATAAATAGTTTTATTCTCGATTATGCTCTAAAACATGATCATGGAGATGTAATAATGTACAATACGTCGAGCCTAGGCTGAAAAGAAAAGTTCGGATGCTGGGCGGTTATTCACATTCGAAAGGAAAGCGGCGGTGGTCAGCAGTGACAAGATGTATGATGATGATCCGTTGTTTGGTAAACGTAGTCGACACATGTGACACAAACCGATAGAGCGAGTGCCAGATAAATATCTACGATCAAGCAGTGGCATGAGTTGGCGTATTTTGAAATGGTTTCAAAGATGAAAAGAGAGTTCACTTGGGAACTACACGTAATGTTCAACGGTGTCCCACCTATTTGTATATAACCGAACTTCCTGCTAGTCCCAGTCGTCATATCCCCTAAAATTTCCATAGTTTATGTGATTGCTTCGTTTACATGTATGTGCGAGTGACGGCGTCCTATTTCAGCGTCCTCGCTGGCCAGTTTATGCGCGTCCTGCCTTTGATAGTCCGTATAAGAACTAGGCCTATTTCATAATTGCCAACATGTATACCACATGTCTTTATACGGATAATAAATTCTGACGGGCACTTCTGAGGGGGTGTAGCTCAGTGGTAGAGCGTTCGCTTTGCATGTGAAAGGCCCCGGGTTCGAACCCCGGCATCTCCACTATTTTTTGGCCATTACCAGCTGCTTACTTTCCCTAGTCTGTATGTCGCCATGTCTATAGGCTGAGGTCAGTGTGATGTTCGTCTTACCTGTAGGGGCCAATCAATTTATCACGTGCCCCCGAGGAGATTAATAGATCTTTGCTGTTACCCTTAGAATTGTTTGATAGGACGGTAACCCGCTCAGCGCAAAGTAAAACGTAAAAGGATGCACCACTTTCCTAGGTTGTGCAGTGGGTTAGCAATGATTAATGCGCATGTAGGATAAATTTTTTCAGAGTAAGGAAAATAAAAACAAATAGTAAAACGCCAGGAAGAAAGCGTGTCGCAATGGCAAACTGGGTAACCTTTCTTTTAATTAATTGCGGGTGGCCAATGTTGCCGTTCGCTCTTCATTGAAGGCTGCGGACAATACTTCTGGTAGTGTTCCACCAGTCTGTAGCGCGGAAATTCAAATTCAACTAATGTACGAGAAAATAATAAGTCACTTAACACAAATGTTTCTTGTTCCATTTCCAACAAGGAACTATTATTTTATGTTGCTTTACTGAATTTTCACCTTTAAAATTGTTCAGTAAGCGGTTCAATAAGAAAACACAATTTGGGGTGGGAACGCAAATATGTGCTCCGTCGCGATGGATGAAAAGTGGTAAGCGCGGATATTTTACATTAATGGACGGTTGTGGTAGTGAAAGATGTATGTGTATATGGCTGCAAAGCACTTAACAGACGTATAAGCTGCGCTCCCACAGCCAGTATTTAGGAATTAAGTTCAAAAACAGAAATTTATCCTTAATATACAACATCTCAGAAATCGTATAATAAAACAACTATAAAGCTTTCTCGGGAACTCCAAGAAGAATTAATGAATTGAGCTGTTTCCAAACAGTTAAAAATTTGAATGCGCACGGTAGATTGAGTTCATTGAATTGTAGAGAGCAGGAGGGAAATCCCTTGTCAGCCCCATCAATTCCGTATCATACTGGGTTAGATGCGTGTCATTGCATTACGACGTTCCTCGAGGGTTCGTCGCAATTGCAGTGACAGCCGCAAAGTTCCAGCATTCTCAGCGAATGTTTGTCTATCAGCCGCTTGAAACTTTCTTCTAATGGAGCGTCTGCAATTTCTTCCGGTAGGCTGTTCCAATCATTCACCACTCTAGTGGATAGGGTGGCGTTCATGCGAATTCCGTGTCTTCTTTGCTTAAACAGTTTCCATGTGTGACCTCGTTTGGAACAGTCAGTGTTGGGACGGAAGAATTGCTGTAACTCACTCCCAAGTTCCCCTCGGAGGATGCGCCTAGTGTAGATGAGATCACCCCGGCGACGGCGGAGCTCGAGGGAGAACAGATTTAGCTGCTGGAGTCGAACGGGGTACGGGAGATCATGAAGCCCCAGAACAGCTTTCGATGCATGTCTCTGAACCTTTTCCAGCACAGCACATTCAATCTTTGAAAGCGGATGGCTAGCTGGAAGGCCATATTCTAAGACTGGACGGACGTACGAAGTGAACAAAGGTCGAAAAATCTCAGGAGTCATTCGAGCGAATGATCTTCTTAAGGCACCCACCAGTCTCCTTCCAGTGGCCACCTTCTTCAACGTGTCCTGCGTCGTTCTAAGGTCAGGAGTCACGATAACCCCGAGATCTCTCTCGTGGGTGGTAGTTCTGAGGAGAAACCCACCAATGTGGTATGCACCGTACGGTTCAGTGCTACCCATTGGGAGAACAGCGCATTTATCTCGGTTTACTGGCAGTTCCCACTTGATGAACCATTCGTGTAGCTGGTCTAGAGCCCCTTGTAATCTGTCCGCATCCTCAATGCTGGATACTGTTGACCATAGCTTGAGGTCATCGGCGTAGATCAAGCAGTCGGTTTGAAGTGCAGTAGGCAGATCGTTAATGTACAGTTTGAAGAGCTCC